TCAAGTTCTGTTATTGATTTATGAGGAATGAATCTAAAATAGTTTGTTGTTTAAAGGATTAGGAAGAATGGAAGTGAAAAGCTGATGGAGTGAGTGAAAAATGTTAATCATCTTTGGGTTTTTAACGGATCATTAATTTAATACACATGCAGTATCAATGATGTTTATTTGAATTTGTGAGCAGTAGTATTTGGCACGAATAACCCGAGAATTGTAGGGGATTCAAGTTATAACGAAAGGAAACAACACGTGTGAACGGCTGCCGACGGACAGCGAAATAGTGAGATCATGTCTTCCCACGCTTGTGTTTTCTCGCTGTAACTGACACACATATGTAATTCAAATGCACGTTCCCCAACATGAATTAACTCTTAATGTCATTTTCTCCGTAGCTCCCTTCTCCGGATTGTTATCATTTCCCAAAACAATATTGTAACTGAAAAAAAACATTCGTCTTACCATTAAAATCAGTAATAAACCGGTTGGAATCGAATTAAAACCATTACCCAGTATTCCGTCGATATCTCGTAATCTAGGGAAGATAGCGAGATTGTTGTTATGACATTTTTTGTAGATTTACTTGAAATCTACTGAAAAGGTTATTTGAATAATTTGGCTATCTCCTTTAGTTTCGAAGATATTCGTCATGGCAAACCAGAAGGAGAACATCTCTCGATTGGAAATAGGAGAGAGCGTTTTCGAGATGAATTGGAAGATATAGAGAAGATGAATTGTCGATTAATGTTGAATTGTGTGATTACAAAGTAATCGACACCTGAAAAACAAGCGGTAGCTACTGCATTTATCGGATAGAAGTGTTCACCAGCGAATGCCCAGGCCCTGTCTTCATTAATGATCCCTGACCCGGCGGTTTAAAGAAAAAGTACAGGATAAAAAAAATCATCCAAGAGTGTAAAAAAGATGGAAAAAAAGGTGGAAAAAAAATCAAGGGGTTCGGGTGGGCCATAAAAACCACCGCCATAACTTCAGAAGAACCGTGATGTGTAGAGAACGCGAAAGTAAAATGAGTAAAAAAGGGTGCGTGGATGATTCTTTGTGTACTCGGAAAGATAAAGAGCCTAAATTGAGATGAGAACGAAATTACAACATACTGCTGAATCGTTAACCCCGATAACTCGAAAATGGACCGATGAATTTTTCTATTTTACCCCAAAATTTTCGCAAAGCTTTACACAAAATTACGTGACGACCTCGTCAGTTATCCACTAAAAGATAAATATCACTTTATTTACGGTTTAATTTCCCATTTTTTTTTCTGAATCAAAATGTAATTTTCACTGAGCAGATTCTGTTTGAGGATTCTTGTGGATATTATTTTTGTGATGAGTAATTTGGGAATTACAAATGTTAGGAATGATGAATCTTGGCATTTTTACTCTTACTTCTAGGAATTTCAACGGAAGTAGTTCCGGAATTTTTTGTATTGACACTGGTCACGTGAAAACTTGCGGGAAGATAGAAAAAAAATTTTCGAGTCTCAAATGTTTGAAGATTCCCCTGAAATAAAATAAAACGCGACAGAAAGGATTTTTTGTCAAAATTAAAAAAAAAATTCCAAATACTATTATCGTTATTGTTATTATTCCCCTTTTTCTGGGAGTAAAGAATTCGCTAAAAATCTGCATCGTCGAAATTTTGTGTTTAGTTTCTGAGATTTCTTCTGAGATTTCTTTTGTCTTGCTACATCAATAATAATAATTACAAAAGTCATGATTTAACACGTGGCAATCAAATTAAATGAATTCTAAATTCGAATTAGTTACCTCAGACAACTGTGAACCAGTGCGAAATAAACGTGAAAGACTTTCAAGATATCAATAGTTGGACCCGCCTGTCAATATGTGATCGACCGCTTTAATGATTTTTTGACCCTTCGAACCCTAAATCATTAGCCCAATGATATTTCCGAAATCCATCAAAAGAATTGCGATATTTTATAAACGAAAACTGTGAGAAAAAATCAAATTTCTTGGAAAATTGAAATAAAAAGTTGAAAATCGAAAGAAATAAAGAAACTGAGAACTAAAAAAAAGACAGGAGATATCTCCAAAAATTATAGGGGAATTTAAATAATAATTGTCATTATTTTTTAGAGCGAAAAATGCTCTACCCCCGGAGATTCCCTAGGGCTTTCGATTAAACACTGAATACTTGCTTAAAGAGGCACTGATCTATATTCCAGACGATAAACACATGTCTCTCCCTCTCAATTATTCGTATTTAAATGAAATGCTCTCCGTGTACGATACGTAGGTGTTACGACGCACTGGAGATGAAGTGTCTTGAAAACTCCTTTTCCCATCGTTCTAAATATAGAAGTGTCATGGAATGACGACACGTGTGTCAGAGAAGTTCACATATGTTTTTTAATAGCTCCCTGTTTTCACCAAATATTCTCAAAAATTTCTTGAAAATTGCTCCCACGGTCCAATTAATCAAATAAATGTGAGAAGGTTATGACAATTCACAAAAATTTTCTAAATTCAGATACAAGAGGTTTATTAACTCTGCGGTGTCGCTGTATTAAGATGCGGTTTCAGGAGGGACTTCAACCCCTGGATAAGACAAATACCTCTGGAAACATCCTGAGAATAATTTAAGACGCTGGTGGAGACTTCAACCCTTCAAGATTCCCTTTGAAATTACTAAAACACGTCAGCACGTTGAGTTGAATTTTGTTTCGAAATTTCATCATTCGAAACTAAAAAGATAAAAATTAATTTAATAAACAACGATAGAAAATGGGCACACCGTGAAAAACGAATGATTTGAAAAATATCTAAACATGACTGTCGAAGTCTTTGTGCATACCGCGGGTAAATTCCCACAAAAATAAATAAAAACAATTTTTTGATTTTTCTTTTTTCGCCAAGAGAAGTACTCAACACGAGGCACTGAGAATTAAGACATTCTCTGACTAATAATTTTCAGCCTCAAGGCCTTAAAAATATTGTCCGTTGGTATATTCGAGAATTGTTAGTGATATCGCTGGGAATCCCCGGATTAACTCGAGAGGAAATAGTGAGATGAGGGAAACGTGGTGGATTCATCTGCCATGTTTGGGGATTTTTTTTTCTATTACTGGGGAATTTTTGGGGGCTTTTAGTTAGAGATTAGGCCGGACAATTGGTGTCCAGTGATGGTAGAGTGGCCGCGAGGTACCAACTTACGGACCCTCTGGAGTCTACAATTATGAGCCATACCACGTCGAGAGTGGATGCTCATAACGAACTCACTATATTGCCAATGGGGAGCGTTTGAGGGGGGCCCTACTAGGCGCCTTTTATATTTCAAGTTTTAAAAACGAGGGAATTCACCTCTTTCTTTCTTCCATCATCTGCCCCCACCTCGAGGTTCAGCGCATTTATGCCACTTTGGTTAACGCGTTCTCGAGGTGAAGGAAACTCGTTTGCTCATTTTTTTGTTTTTTCATATGTACTTCTTTGATTTTACCTTTTTATTTTTTTTTTTTCAGGTTAGGTCACGTGTCGCGTGGGAATTGAGCGGTAAAATTTGAATTACTTCGCCCCTAACGAAGTTTTGAGAATTGACGATGGAGATTCATTTGAGATTGGGGTGGTCATGATGCGAAATTCTCCTCGAATGTTTTAGCAGTACGAACACCATATGTTTTAGTGGGGCTTAGAAGCCATAAAGACGGTCTTTGTGTTTGCACGGGAAGCATGGCTCGATTGGCATGAGTGTTACACTTGATTCCGTCAGCTCACATTAACAATCTAAAAAAAAATAAGGAAAAATGCCCCTTAATGAAATTTTTAGTCTTCATGAGAATAATTACTCTCTAGGGGTGACAAAAAATGTCGCGAAACGAAACAGGTGACATTTTCTTCAAAC